AAGATCAGGCCCTTTCTTTCAGAACATGCAACACAACTCCTTGTTCAAGCTCTTGTTCTATCCAGGCTGAACTATTGCAATGCTCTCTTGGCAGGTCTTCCAGCCACTTCTATCAAACCTCTACAATTAATCCAAAATGCCGCTGCAAGATGAATCTATAATGAGCCGAAAAGAACGCATGTTACACCTCTGTTCAGCAATTTGCACTGGCTACCAGCATAAAATTCAAAGCATTAAAGTTTGCCTACAAAACCACCACTGGCTCTGCACCCATTTACCTAAATTCATTACTTCAGAGTTATGTGCCCTGTAGAAGCTTGCGTTCTGCAAGTGAATGGCATATTATTGTGCCATCTCAAAGAGGTACAAAATCACTTTCACTGACTTTTTCATTAAGTGTTCCCTCCTGGTGGAATGACCTGTCCAACTCAATCCGAGCAGCCGAGTCCTTAACTATCTTCAAGAGACGACTAAAAACACATCTGTTCCATGTTTATTTGACCCTCTAACTCTAGCACTTTCTATTCTATTTTAATTCTACTTCATCTATTTATCTTAGTTTTTTATGAAAAAAAACCACTAGCTTTCTATTTTTTCTATTCTACCTACTTGTTTTTCTTTGTGTGTGTGTGTGTGTGTGTGTGTGTGTGTGTGTGCGTGCGCACCTTTGGCTGGATCAGCCCTCTCCAGTACAACTCGTAGGCCATCAAGGTTTGATATGGGCACTCCAAGATCGAGAACCTCTGTCTCTCCACTCTAAAAAATTTTAAACATTTAACATTAGACTCTTTTCTCAAGAAATGTGCCTTTACAAATTAATTTTGATTGATGGCAGATACAGCTTACTGTTCCAGTTTCATTACAATTTAAGGTCTAAAGACAGGCTTGATTAACCACAGAAAATAATTTCTATGCATCTCTCAGTGAGTACAGTAATGCACTCACAATAGGACAAAGTCTATGGGACCAGGCACTGCACTAGACATTTAAATACATACTGTTTTGAAACAGTACTCATAATCAGGGGCATCAATCGACACTTTGTGGCACAAGCCCCAGTGAAATACAGCTGTGGCCCAGTATAAATGTACTAATGCATGAGATTACAATATATGATGGAGGAGATTACAATATATCGACCTGATAATCATGTTACCCATGTTATAATACAGTATTTCAACAATCATATCATTAGTGTTTTCTACAAGCTATTTAGAATCAAAACTAGTGATGCTACAGTCACAAATAAATCGCTCTTTTGATCTAATCAGTCAAACGGGTTTGTAATAAGGTCTTGAATTAAAAATGAATCAAACTGAATCGTGAACAGTTCACTCACGCACTAAATCTTTTGCATCAGTTTCTCACACCATAACGGAATGCTTTACACTCCTGCTCATAATACTTGAACATTATACATGTTAACATGATTCTGATATATAAACTAATAAAACAAATGGTACAAATAAAGTGCAGCACATGCAAAGAATGCAATGACTGTGGCAACTTTAACATTTGAAAGGATACTATGGCAAAGTTATCGCTTTCCTTATTCAAACTGATTTTTTTTTTCACACGAGTATATGATTGACCTCAAGAATGAAAGCTAGGTTATATCATACACTTGGAAAATTATGAGCTATATCACCGCTTATCAACACTAGGGATGTGACAATAAACTTAGCTCAAGAGATGAGACAAAATGCATATACTTGGTTCAATAGAACGAGACAATGTATTAATACTTTAAGAAATATTTGAATGACAATATATTTGTCTTTTAATTACAAAAATTAGAACAATGCAGTTATATTTTGAAATGTTTTAACAAATCTAGGGCTTAACTAACAATTATTTTGCTAATGAAGTAATCTACTGATTATTTTGACAAGTATGTTTTAGTAATACATATAGAACTAAGTGAAAAACAGGCTTTAATATGACTATATTTATATATAAACTAACGATGAGGCAATAATAATTGGCTCAAATAAAGTATCAAAACCAAGTACATGGTTTTATTGAACAACTGTTAAAGGGCTAGTTCACCCAAAAATGAAAATTTGATGTTTATCTGCTTACCCCCAGGGCATCCAAGATGTAGGTGACTTTGTTTCTTCAGTAGAACACAAACGAAGATTTTTAACTCAAACCATTGCAGTCTGTCAGTCTTATAATGGAAGTGAATGGGAATCATGGCTTTGAGAGTCAAAAAATTGGATCATTGTCAAATGACCGTTCTGTGCAAGAAACTGAACAGTATTTCTATAGTTTTTTTACCTCGATTTTCACCGCAATGTCTGTTGTAGATATAGTGCCAATGGTCCATTTGAGAGATAGGTGGCGATAATGCACTTATAAGTCTGCGATCTGCCGTAAAGCAAGAAGAAGAAGAAGCGTCATGCGCCGGCTGTTGAGGATGTGCTCAGGACAGTTCAGACAGTTCAGACATTGTGGTGAAAATCAGAGGTAAAAAAACTATAGAAATACTGTTCAGTTTCTTGCACAGACCGATCATTTAATGTCTTTACACATCAATGTATCGTCAGGAGCCGCAGGGTTTAATTTGGTTTTGTTTGTGTATGTTTTTTTTTACTCTCAAAGCCGTGATTCCCATTCACTACCATTATAAGACTGACAGACTGCAACGGTTTGAGTTAAAAATCTTTTTTTGTGTTCTACTGAAGAAATAAAGTCACCTACATCTTGGATGCCCTGGGGGTAAGCAGATAAACATCAAATTTTCATTTTTGGGTGAACTATCCCTTTAAATACATAATGTAATATGCCTATATTATAACAAATACCTGCAGAGGGCGCCAACGGCCTGGTGATGTTTCATGTGATTCAAGCACGTTTAAATCCATTTAATTGCAATATTTGGCCATAAGCAAAGTGAGAAACTTTATTTTGAAATCGCCATCTACAGTAAATCGCATATTTAGAAATATGTTGATGTATTCTGTGTTGGCATAGGTTTATAAATGACTTAAGTTACAAATTAAGTGAGATAACGCAGTTTTTCCAGATGAACGTTAAGCAATCCAAACTCACCGCATATGCAGAGGAAGAGTTAAGCCCCTTTCACACATACAGTCTTCACTGGTAAATTGCCGTAAAGAGATCATGTGTGAACAGGACCTTTTCAAAACTACAGGTAAATTTGTTCTGCCAATCATATCGTTCTTATGGAGATGACGTGATTACTCTGAGCTGTTTACAAAGCTCCGTTAATTATATAGAAAATAGCTTTTCTATATAAATATGGCTATAGATGGAAATCTCCTCGCAGCTTTTTCAGAATGTGTCGCGCTCATCAGCTGCGACTCTGCAGTTGGATACTATTATGCACGTCTCATGTTTATAGGACCAAAAATGTCTGATTGGCTAGTAATGTTAGTTTGGTTGAGAGTGAAAGCTGTGTTCCTCTCATACATTGGTAGGCGAACTCATTAACTCGAACTTGATATCAACAAGTTTTTTTTTTAATGTAGGAGCCAGGACTATCTTATTTTCCCGCAGCTAAACGCCACACGCCGGAGAACTTTAAGCCCTGTAAACAGAAATACAAAACAAACTCCAACTAATAAAAATAACAAAACCACATAAAATTACTTACACTTAAAATAAAATAAAAAAACATGTAAAAATAAAAGCTAATTCAAAATATTAACAAATTCTGTAACAGTATAAAAATAATACTAAAATAAGAAGACACCCTTCATCTTTAATTTTAGTTTGTTCCTCACACAAAGCTATGGAATATAGTGCGCAAATCATGCAGACTTCTTTTGTTGTGCTTTTATGATTTTTTTGTTGTTGAGAAACCAGGATATTCTACTTCTTATACTTGTTTTATTCTTCCACAGAAGAAGAAAGTCGTTAAGATTTCAAACAACATAAGGGTAAGTAAATGATGCAAGTATTTTCATTTTTGGGTGAAATATCACTTTAAGGTTCATTGAGCAAGATGACTGAATATGTATGATTGAGGGAACGTGTATGTGTTACAGATGATTACCTGCTTTTTGTCATGTTCTGGAACTTGGCTAAAGCATTCACAGGCCTGCCAGAATAAGATGTTTTCCTCACTAAACTCCTTCTTTAGAAACTCCTGCAGGAACACAGAAAAGTACATTTAGTTCTAAATTACTGTCCTGTCCTGTGACATTAATACACTTCTGCTTTATGATATGGTGTCAACAAATGAACATGAAATGAACACAAACCATCAATCTGATATACACAAAGGCAAGCCTGTCAAAAGCTCACAGGCCATAAGAATTGTATTTAGTTAACAATAAGCAAATGTCTAAGACACACTCCAGTACTTACAGAAAAATAGCGAACACCCACAGGATCCTGGAGCAAACGCTCAAAGCTGACGGCCCATGATGCAACACGGCGCTCTGAGAAGCGACAATGGTTGGTGACGCTGGGCAGACTACCATTACTTTCCAAACTGCTCACACTGCCGCAGTCATGACGCTCGAGACCGCTGCGCTCTGAATAAGACAAAGTGTAAATATGAGAGTCGAGATGATTTAGGTTCAGATTCTTGAACTGTTCTGGTCTGGATCACTAAAACAAATTTACTTCTCTGTTCTGAGATGAGATGTCTTTAATACTGTGGCATGAGGTGAGGAATAGGAATGATTTTTCATGTTAGGGTGACAATATGCAGATAAATACTAAGAATCATCAAAGTGCATAATTTCAGTCAATAGTGTTACCAGTTGAATTGAAAAAAAAAAGTTTTCAAACAGGTTTGCTTCAGTTGGAAATTGGTTGGTCAAACAGTCTTACTGCAAACTCACACTATTGGCTGAGCGAGTGTTGCTGTTGGGCTGGTCAGGTTTGCTCAAACTAAGTAATGTTGAAAAGGCCACAGAGCCACAGTGTTTACACATTTTGGGAAAATCAATGTAAAAAGGCCTTACTTATGGTTTAGGGTTAGAATAATTTTAACATTTTAACTTTAAAGTGTTGCTGATTTGAATACAAAAATGAGGGATTTTGTGATTTGTAAGCAAGTAAATCTAGAACATATGTAACTTGTGCTGTTTTGTATCTTTGTTACAAACTGTTGCCCTATCATGTGTAATAAGTTTTCCTTGCTTTTCGATAGACAAGTCCAGACAAACCTCAAAGCTTTCTCTCTAAATATCGCTGTCATAACCGCCTTCAGACAAATTAAGGGAAACTTCCTCTGACACTGCCCAAAAATTTTCTCTGTGCACTCTGACCTAAACCAAATCATTTAAGGGTAACTTTCTGTGTGAGATATGTTGTAAGGTTGTTGTAAGTACAGTAAAACAGTAATATTGTAAGTTATCAAGTTATTTCAAAATAACTTGTTTAATCATTTTAAAATGCATTTCCTTCCTGTGTATATGCATTTTTTCAGCATCATTACTCCAGTCTTCAGTGTCACACGATCCTTCAGAAATCATTCTAATAGGCAGATTTAGTGCTCAAGAAACATTTCTTCTTATTATCATTGCTAAAAACAGTTGTGCTGCTTAATATTTTTGTGGAAACATATTTTTTTTCACAGCATTTATTTGAAATAGAAATATTTAGTAAAATTATTGTCTTTACTGTCACTTTTGATTTATTTAATGCATCCTTTCTGAATAAAAAAGTATGAATTATTAATTTTTTAAAACATCTTACTGACCCAAAACTTTTGAACAAAAGTGTATCTAAAAATCATTAACTACAGATTACTTCAATTACACATTCCACTCTGGAGAAAGTGTGTTTGCTTTATTCCCAGTGTACAAATGAAGTGCACTTGCTTAAATTATGATCTTATACTTCTCTTGTAACCTTTTTCTTGTAGCTCTTCATAGACAAATGTAACACTTTAAGACTACACAAATAAAATCCAATGGCTCACACAGCAAACATCAGAACAACAGTCTACTTAAAGCTAACTTCAGAACTCATTAAACAACTTCCTGAACTCATTGATTTTGCTTGTTAGAAAGGGTTGAAAAAGAGAACTCACCTCTATCTGATGCAGCCGACTGAAAGAAAAGAAAAAAAGACATGAATGAGCAATTGCCATCCTGACTTTGGTGGGGTAATGGAGGAGAAAAAGAGGAGAGAGGTAAAGTTACAGAGCTGGAGAAAATGCCTTCAGACATCTCTGCAGTCTCTCTCATCTTAACTGAATGTGTGTGATATGTGTTTGTGGAGAGGGGAGGGTTTTTACATATGGCCGTTGATGTAGCTGTGTAGTAACACGCAGCTGTTCGCACTTCTGCTCCGGTTACCGCCCACAAAAACACACACACATCAAATGACCTGACCCAGGCATGCCCAGACACTTGCAAAGACCATAACTTTAACAAAGAGCTTTAGTCAAGCTTTTCAGGTCATAAAAACACTCCTGCATCTCTGAGCATGGAGGGAAACCTGAATGAGAAGAAGAATGCAAATCAATATGCAAGTCCCAGGGATGTGGAAGTTGACCAATATGGTAGAACCATATAATAACTTATCTTACAGCCTATTCGTTAACATCAGCATCCCAGAGACCAACAGAGGTGAGTATATGTGTGTGTGTGTGTGTAGGCTGGGAGCAAAGCACATGGACAAACACACACCGTGTTTGTTCAGTGGGAGGAAGTGTAACGGAATGAGGGCAGATATTGGGACAGCAGACGGACACACAAAGGAACAGAGACTTTTGTGAGGTGAATACAAATGAGATTTTACAAATGTGAAGGTGGGAGATAGAAGTTCTTTGTTGGCACATAATAAAATGAATCAGATTCATGACCTCTGGACAATGTTTACCAAGTGATATCATGCATGAACATGCACTATTCTGTCTGGTGCCATTTAACCAGACGGATTTGTTGTGTAGAGTTTCAGCCGCAGGCACTTTTCATTGTATTCACCACTAAACCAATGTCAAACTTACAGCCATCCAAAAAATCTTTCCTTCTAGACACAGACGCGCTCAGTGCATTGAAGGAATGTTCCAGGTTCAACAGTAATGCAGTTACACTGGACATCTAAGGGGCAAGACATTACAGAGCATTTTAAATCAGAAATGAGCAATTACATTTACAAAAGTTAATACTTTTAGGGACTATTGTTCTAGGCAGATGAGATTATTCATACACACACATTATATATAAAAAATTTGATATAATATTCAGTATAAATATCAAGTAGGGATGCACCGATATAATTTTTTCCAGAACAAGCCGATACCGATACTTTTATTTCTGGTACTTGCTGATGCTGAGTACCAATACCTGTATTTTCATTGCATTTATAATTTTTAAAAACACTGAGTACACAAACCAAACCAAAAGAATATGCATAATGTTAGTTAGCTTAGTTAATTTAGCAAATATATATTTACTTCAGTTATTTTTGCAGTATCAGACTAGTAATCACACTACTCACATACATAATGTTTAAGTATTGTTTCTATATTTTGGGAATAGGAACATTTATTCTGGAGCAATGCCTTGCCCCATGACTTCCACTATGTGTTCAGTATTTAAACACATTTTTTGAGGGATAAGTCAAAATGATTTATGGTGGGGAAAAAATAAAGAGAAATCGTTTTTTAAAGAAAAATTAATTATATTAAAATGAAGATCATGAATGAATGAATGAATGAGTAAATAAATAAATGGTTTTCATTGTTTGTAATTATGTCATCATTTAGCTGAGCTGAAATCACAAAAGTAAGGAGTATTCATATGTGTCTCTAATGGTAATGAGTTAAAATAGCAGCTCATCAGCACTCAGAAATGGCACATTCCAGTCCCAGTACGTCACCACCATTATCAAATCTGAGCTCTTCTGACACTTTCAACATGACTAACGGAGAGCTATTTATATGCTAATAAAAGACAAGGATTCTGAGAATGGAGAACAGCCAAAAGCGGACACATATGACTTGATTCATTGTGGTTCATGTGAAGGACATCTTTCTGTTATCTTACAAATGGGTTTGACCAGTGATACATGAAGTGCTAAGCACGGATGCTTTAGTGATGATCTAAGACAGAAAAGAATCTTCAAATTATTAAAAATGTTACAAGTCAAATAAGAACATGAAGTGCTTCCAACCCTTTTTTTTAAACATTTGTGAAAAAATATTAACCAAATAAAATTCATTTTTACTAGATTTTTTGATTTATATTATATTGCTATGGAGTTGCTATGAGTCCCTGATGATATTCTACGTGATATCCCCATTCCCCAGATAGCTTGTTTTCATTATTCAATATATTTTTCAGTTTATTATCTGTCAGCCATCACCAGAAATCACACATTTAGAAAAGTAATAGCACAGCTCTCCTCAACAAGCTGCAAGATTTGAGCAATCATTCATCTCTGTAGCATAAACAGTGCAAGACAAGTTAGCTATACAACAAATTTAATACCTATAGCTTGAGGTGCATTTAAAATCCTTACCCTATAGTAAGAGCAATGATAAAGTGATGCTTTCCTTAGTGACAACAGCTAACAATATACAAATATTGTAGCATTCTATAAACATAAACATATGAAAACACTGCTAAAGCCTCATCTGCAATGTGTCTTTTTCCATCACATTCCAGTCCAAGAACGCTCTTAACACTGTGTACAGACACAAGAGGGACGGCCTTGAAAAACCACAAGCCTCCAGGCCACTTCAAAGCGCAAATGTGTCTTAAAATGGTGAGTTGCACAGGCCGGCTTACGATGAACAACTCAAACTAGAGTCTACTAATATGATTCATGAGTCTGAGCCCTTACTGTGACAATCTCAAACCGAGACCCCTAGATAAAAACTTTCTCTCACAAAGTTCTACCAAACCCACTGATGTTAACCTCACTCCTTATAAGACCAGAAGTGGCCTCTTCTATGCTTCTAATTGTAGTGAGGGATGAAGTTAGTAATGTGAAACAGAGGGAGGAAAGACAGAGAAGGGAAGAAAATGAGAAGCTATGAAACGGCGTAGCCTGAATACCATTCAGTTTGTGCTACCACCCTGGTGTATTTGGTCAGAAACTCTATGGCAACAATTCATCTCAGACCACAGACTGTGAGGCCACCAATGACACGCGTCTCAGGCAGGGGCGCTCTCTCTCTCTCTCTATATATATATCACACGCTCCCATGAGCAAACGTGTTATTTGACGGGGTTTGTTTCACAGCAGCAAAATCTGGTAGGCGTACTGAGTGGCAGGGTTCAGCGGTGGCTTACAGACATCTGGTTGTTGTGACCTGCCGCGTGACTGAGTGATGTTTCTGTGAACCAATCAGATGCTTTGGAACTTATTAGAAGTAAAACCAAGGAACTGTATTTATGGATTCCACGAGGAAATGATGAGGTAATTTCTGTGTTTAGAAGAAAACATGTTTAAGCCTGTTCACTAGAATAGCAAAGGGAAAATCTCACCGCATATCATCAAACCATAATGAGGCTCATTTTCTTTCTTTGGTTCAAACTTGTGTTTGTGTATCAGACTTACACAGACTTACAAAATGGTATTTCATAGTTGTAAATACAATAAAGATTATTGGAGTACACTGGAAAATACATTTCTGTTTTTCTACTTCAAAACAAAAGTTCAGTTTTGTTATTTGTTTCTTTGTAATTGTTTGTGAAATTAATTGGTCGTTTCTGAGTGAAAATTGTTTGTACACCAAATTGTCTTCAAAACAAAAACATGAGTTGTTTCTTGAAAAATATTGGCTTTGAAACCATTTTCACTAATACATTTAAAAAAATAATGACAAAGAAACAGCAAGCAACACATTGAATTTAACCTGAACTCTTTAAGTAGAAATACTGAAATAGTATTTTTTTGTGTGTGTAATATATATTCCAAATAATGTTTAATTGGTAACACTTTACAATAAGGTTCATTAGTTAACTACATTAGTTAACATGAACTAATAATGAACTGCACTTATACAGCGTTTATTAATCTTTGTTAATGTTAATTTCAACATTTACTAATACATTATTAAAATCTTGTTAACATTAGTTAATGCACTGTGAACTAACATGAACATCTGTATTTTTATTAACCAACATTAGCGTAGATTAGTAAATACAGTAACAAATGTATTGCTCATGGTTAGTTCATGTTAGTTAATATATTAACTTATGTTTAACTAATGAACCTTATTGTAAAGTGTTACCGTTTAATTTACAATGAATCATGTTTTTTTTTTTACAATGTACTGATATTCTGGTTCCTAGATATCCATAAGTATCATCCAACTGGTACAAAAAAAAGTCATTTCTGTCATCATTTGCCATCAAATTTTTTGTCTATACAATGAAAGTCAATGGGGTTAATTTTTTTTTACCCAAATGACTTTCAAAATATTTTCTTTCGTGTTCAACAGAACAAAGATAATGCTATGGAATGATATGAGGGCGAGTGAATGTTGACAAAATAAAAAATTTTGGGTGAACTATTCCTGTAATTATGAGTAATACCTATGCCTTGTAAACATCACAAATTACTTAAAGTAGAAACAGTTGCATTTCTCATTGCATTTCTAGGCCACACATACTGCTGCAAATATTCCTTACAATCATAAATGACTTTCTTCTGATGTCTTTGCACAACTGCCATACACCCTTCTTCTCGTGAATCTTCACACAGAGACTCGCTTTGTTTATATTTCCACCTTCTGGACTACGTGAGGTGACGACTTGCCCTTTTAACCTCCAAGAAATAAAAGGGTTATATCAGTATTTTGAGGAGGATTTGCATGTAGCAGCTTCATTTTCTTTCACTCGAAACAGTTTACACTACCTCTAGGCTGTCAAGTACAGTTTTTCTTCTCATTCAAGATGTTCTGTGAATTCAAACAAACACATTCTAGCTTCTTCTGGTGACATTTGTTGATAAAGGAAGACAAAACCCACAGCCAGATCACACAATCTCTAGGCTACAGCTAAAAACACCATTACAAAAGGCAAGCAGTTGGTCTAAACAAAATATCTTTGCTTGTCATAACATGTTTAAACTGTAAAAGTTACTGTAATAC